GGGGAATGGAGTGGACGGATTAACAATCTCTGGAGAAAGGACAGGCTGGAAGCAGGTCAGCTGTGCAGTGCCAGGTGCAAACACTGAAGTCGAGGGTTCAGGTTTTAGGTTCTGAGGATCTCAGGGTAGGAAGAGGAGATGAGTGGGTCTCTGGAGAAGGCTTCCTTCCGGAGGAAGCGGGATTTAAGCAGAGTTTTGAAGAATAGGTATAAGTTGAGAAAGGAAGCAAGCATTTACAAAGAGGGGTCTGGAGGTTGTGAGTCTCGGGATGACTTTGTCAAAGGTGTGGCGTGGGACGTGGGAAAGGGGAGCTCCAGGCCCAGACCTCGCTGTCCACTTCTTGACTGCGTGGATGCACGGCTCCTCCAGAGGGCGCTGTTCCCCAGTAATCTGTAACTCGCGTCTGCGAGGCAAGGCCAGGACTTGCGCTGGTCTCTCTCCCTGCTTCCTTCGGACTGACTCGACTTGGCATCCAAAGACCTCGGGCACCCGTCCAGGTGAGGCTTATGGGTTCCACCTCGCTGCTTAGGAATCGGAAAGGCTAGACACACGCGCGCGGGTGTTGCGTAAGGGGCCAAGTTCGGAGGGCTCTGTACCCGTCTGCCTCCAGCCCTGCCCCAACCAGGGCTCCGGAAGGGCGTGGGGCTCCCGAGGCTTGCTGCTCCAGCAGGCAACACGTAACTGGTCAGAAGGAGGCCGCCGCTACGACTCGCCTGGCTCTTCTCAGCATGGTTCCTGTACGCTCTTTCCCTCACCTTTGCCATTGTCCCAGACACCTACCCAGGCTCGCACCGTACACACCTCCTTCCCTGCCCGGGTCTCGCTGTGGGCATGGAGCAGGTTTGCAATCTCCTGACCAGGTGACGCCACTTCAGGACCTGGATTAAAGGGAAGCCGTCCAGGGCAGTCACCTGCACAGATCGTGCTTTCGGGAGGGGAGGACTCGGGACACGCACTCGGGACAGCTGCTCAGGAAAGTACTCGGGCAGGCAGAGCCACTGTTGCACGGAGGGGCACACCGACCACACGCACGGACAGAGAAACAGACCCTCCGACTCGGGAACCCTGGACGCACTTAGATGTCGGGGGCACTAGGCCTGACGTTCGCGCTCCGACATACGCCGAAGCGTCCCCTGCGCCCCTGCAGGTCTCCCACGCGTGTGGAGCCTGCCTTACCACGCTACGAAGCCATCCCCCAGGTCGGGGGTTTTGGGAGCAGCGTTGTTTTCGCCATCTCCTGGGCTTGCAACCCTCTTCCTACGAAAGATAGTCGACAGCCCCCCCCTCCCCCCGCAGCTCACTCTGGTTTCAACCGATGCTCACTCCTAGAGCCATAGGGTGCCTGAGTGAGCCCCACCAACACGTGGTCCCGTGATAGGTAAGGCTGGGAGGGGACTGTGGCTCGGCGTAATGGAAAAAAAGATGGACCCTCTTAGAAGTGGAGGGTCAACCGGTGTGGGGGGGCCGACCCTGAGCCGGCGCTGGGGGTGGGCAGGCAGGCTTCCGCAGTGAAGGAGCATACACTGGAGGCCCTGTAAGCGCTGCCCTTGCAGAGGGCCCCAGCCTCTCCCTGAACTCTGATCCGGAGTCCCGCTCCTGAGTGTAGGGAGCCCCTCCGCCTAAGGTTCACCCTGCAGGTCACAGATCTGGAGTCCCCAGCCTCCCAGCTGGGCAGAGGGTGCTGACCACCCTGGAGCAGGCGAAGATCTGGGGTCGGAAGCTATACAGGCTGCGCCCACACATCGCCTTGTTCCAAAGCTGCAGCCTCGTGAAGGGGCAGGAAGGGCAGGCGACTGCAGGAGTCTGGACACTTTCCCCGAAGCTAGCCAGGTTGTGAATAAGATGAGAGAAGTGTGAAGGCGTGGTATACCTTTGTCCGCGCTTTGCAGCCTGGCCCCTCTGAGGCACCGACATCTGCGCTCCTGGAACCTTGAGAAGGCGGCAGGCAATCGGTCCGTGCAGACACCCGCCTCTAGTTAGCTCACCTCCACCTTCGCCAGTTCTTCTATTGACTTCATTATATTCCCATAATCTTCTGCTAGCTCTCGTTTCTCCGGAGCTCGAGGAGCACAAGAAGGGAAGGGGGGGGGTGACGTACAGGGAGAGAGGCTACTGACAGCAACGCAGCTCAGTAAACACGTAACAACTTCTCCTGGTAATCCGAACGTGGTGGAGTGGAAAATTTCCGAAAGGGCCCTCCCCGAACACTTCCTTCCAATCCTTTCTGGGCTGCGCAAGAGAGGGGCCAAATAATGAAGCAGACGAAGAAGGAGGCTGGAGGCACGCTGTCTTGTAAGAAGTCCCGCAGAGCCTGTCGCCTCCAGCTTCCTGGAGGCTGCAGCCATGGGTGCTGGAGCCCAGGCTTCTGGAAGAGCGCCCAGGTTTTCAAGGCAGTGGGCGGTGGGCGGGGGAAGGGGTGGCAGAGGCGGGAAAGGCCGGAGCCACAGGAGAAGGGCAGAAACTAAAGGAATCCCTAATCCCCCGGTTGGCCCTTCTTCCAGCCCCCAGTACACTTACTCCTGGCATTATTCAAAACAGATGGGCTCAGAACCTTGGGAAGGATGAGAAGCTCCCCCAAACACCCCTCCTCAGGCAAGAGTGGAGCCGGGTCAGGGACTAAGCAGTCATCTGGATAAACAGATCAGGCCTGGGCTGGGAGTCCAGACACCTGGGTCCAACGCAACTGCTCCCCCTCCCTCCGCGCCCCCAGCCCTCTCCCCCCCTCCAAGGCTGACAAATCACATGATCTCCTAGGCCTCCCTGATTGATTTCCACTCCTGCAAAAGTGTTCGTGGTTGAAGATCATGTGCCACTCACACTTTGCAAAACCGGGGCTGGGGTCCTGTGTCCCAGTTCCCCGACCTGAGTCTCAGCAGCAGTCGGTGAGAAGCAGGGCCAGGCAGAGGCAGGGGCCTGCAACTGCAGCTGCTCTGTGGAGCTCTGCCTATAGCATTAGAAGCAGGATATCAGGAGCAAATGCCTCAGCCAGTCTTCCCTGAAGCTGGCCAGGGGGCTGGAGCGTGGGGAACCAGGAGAGCTCTGGCAAGGAAGGAAGCTACTTATTTACATTTGCCATTCTAGAAAGGAAGACGTTTAGAAGGTGAGATGGAATGGGATGGGGCAGGTCTTGTTTTCCTCCCCGTTTAATTAGACACTAGCAGAACTGAGCTGGGCTGGAGTTGGTGTGTGGGGGACTGTGTGGGGTGTCTGTGATATGAGAGAGATTGAGCAAGTCGGGGGTATGTGCAGGGTTCCCAGATAAAACTAACTTGCTAAATCTAGCAACCCTAGGTATGTGAGTTTATCTGGACTCATGAAAGAAACTTCTGTTCAAAGCCTCCCCTCTACACCCCCTAGCCCACCCCATCCCCATCACCTAGGAAATTCTGATTTCAGGGCCACCAATTTCCTCCCCAATTTCCTGTCTGTGGCTTCAGGGCTGGGGTTTTTTTTTTTTTTTTTTTTTTTTCCCTAAGAGCAGTGTTTACGCAGGCCTAGCATATTAGGTGGATCTCCTTGGTCTGAGGTCCCACAGAGATGCCCGGAGGAGGTGTTCTCATGGGACAGGAGCAGTCAGACCGCCTTCCAGCCTCCTTTGGCTCAGGAGAATGGAGAACTCTAGCTCGAGGAATCTGTGGCAACAGTTGCACCCAGCCCTGGTCTGAATCATTGGAGGAGCCTAGAGGAGAGTCTTTCCCCCCTTGGGGACTCTATCGCCCTGCCTGTGGAATTGAAGAGTTGGATTCTCACTAAATTATTCCATAATTGGAGGCTGCTTTTAGATGAAGGGGGGGATTCCTCTACCACATCGGCCCTGCTAAGATACAGCCTGCAGAAGCTGCAAATTCCCTCCCACTCTCCTTCCAGTGCTTCTCTACAGGGGACCTACTTTAGCACAGTGAGGAGATGGCAGCGGTAACCCACCCCATCAGGGGGCTGGACCAAGGCTTGAGATCAGGTAGGAGACTACACCACCTCCAACACCTTTCTCTCTCCCCAAGAGTCTTTATAGTGCTCACAATACCCTCTTCAAAAGTAGCCCAGAATGATTTGTTTACTACCGCCTATTAGTCACGCCCAAGGTATTTTTCATCTTATTTCTACAGAGGAAGAAACAGAGGTACAAAAAATTATGAAACGTATCCAAAGTGGCGGAGATGATAAGTACAGGATTGGGACTCCAGAAGCCTGACTCCAGGCTGGCTCCCTGCTCTTAACTACTTCGCAAAGAAGGAAACTGAGGCTGGGAAGGGCAAGTAACCTGCTGACTGTCAAGTAGCTTTGCGATTGTGGAGCTGGCAGCTGTGTCTCAGGCCTCGCATGTCGGAGCTTTGGCCACTGCGCGGCGCTGTCGGGGCAGCAGCCGGTCCCTCCGCTTAGTACTTGCCCACCTCTAGTGCCCATCTCCCCTTTCACCCCGCAGAGGTTGAGACGGGCCCAGTCTGAGCGTGTGCTGCCCGTTGCTGGGTTCCTGGAGAGTGACCAGTGGAGAAAGAGACCTAATGAGATGGAAAGGAACCCGGCAGTGGTACAAGGGCACAGCACCGACCTGTGTGCTCAGGATAGGCAACAATAGCCCGGGGCTGCAGACAGGCTCACTGGGGGAGGTCTCCCTGGGAGTCCTGCTGTCCGTCTGTAGAGCTTACAAGTCCTGCCAGAAAGTTGGGGGCGGGGGGCAGCCCTTCAGTGCGTCAGGGCGTGGGGAAGAGGGGAAAACAGAGCGAGGGATTCCTAGACCCACTAACAGACACCCAAGCAAATGCACGGTTTCCACAGGAAACCGAGACAAGGACTGACCGAGCACGAGAAAGACACAGAATCACAGAGCCTGAGACAGAAAAGGGTTTGAGTGCAGGCAAACTCCGAGCGATGGGCCGGACCGCACTCGCAGAATGCGGGCCGAGCGCCGCACAGAAGCTTCAGGGCGGGAGTGACGGGCAGGCGGCGCACTCCCCAGGTCTCTGGCGCACACTACCGCGTCTGGAGTCCAGCGACGGGGCAAGGGGGATGGCGACCGGGTCCAAGCCTGGTAGGAGAGAGGGGAGCAGTCGGAATCTCTCACCTCTCCGAGGCCCCAAGGTTGAGAGCTCCAAGTTTGCTCCTCGCGATTAATCAAGTACGTCTCCCCTTGGGCCGGAAGCTGCTCGGGATCTGGCGGGCCCGCTCCCGCGGCGTTTGTCCTGGAGTCTCCGGCCACCTTCGCACTTCAGCTGCGTTTCGACCTAGGTGGCCCTGCGCTGCAGTGGGTATAGACGGTGGGGTGGGGGGCTGTCGCTACTTCTCCCAGCTCCGGTTGGCGCCCATGTGAACCTTAACATACCGGGGCTGAGCCCACTGAAGGCGGCGGCCCCTGGGAGCGGAGCACTTGTGGGGTCTGCGGGGAGGATGAGGACCCGCCTCCCGGCGGAGCGGAGCTCCGGCAGCCTCGGTTGTTTGTTCCCGCCGGGCCCCTCCGCGGAGCCACTGCGCCCGCGGACTCCCGCCCCGCCCCACCCTAGGAGCTCCGCCCCGGGCTCTCGCTCTTCCGCTTAGGCAGCCGCTAGGCGGGAGGGATGAATCCCCCGACCTTCCCCTCCCCACGTCCCGGGGGCCCGGAGCCCGAGACTGGTCTGGGCGAGAGGAGGCCCGGCTCCTTCCGGGGGCAGGCGCGGGCTCGGGCTCCTGGGGCCCCGGAGAGAGCAGCCAGTCGGGTGCTCACCCAGAGGCGGGAGCGGCCGAGTCGGGCCACGAGGGGGCGCTGCGGAGCCGGGGAACCCCTCCCGACCCGCCTCAGTCCCCCGCCCCTTCCCCGCCCGCGCGCAAAACACACTCGCCCCAGAGGCAGCGCGGCGGAGCCGGAGCCGGAGCCGCGGCCGGAGCGGAGCCGAGAACGGCGGCGGCGGCATCATGACCCTGGGCAGCTGCTGCTGCGAGATCATGTCCTCCGAGAGCTCCCCGGCCGCTCTGTCCGAGGCGGACGCAGACATAGACGTGGTGGGCGGCGGCGGCGGCGGCAGCGCTGGGGGGGAGCTCCTGGCCCGCCCCGGGCCCCGGGTCCCGCGGGACGTGCTCCCGCACGGCCCGGAGCCTCCCGTGGAGGAAGCCGAGGCGGACGCAGCTGAGGAAGAGGAGTCCGGCGGCTGCTCGGACGGCGAGCCCCGCGCTCTGGCGCCGCGAGGGGCGGCAGCTGCAGCGGGGAGCCCTGGGTCAGGCACCGCAGCGGCGGCCCGGGGCGCGGCGGGGCCCGGACCGGGTCCGCCGTCGGGGGGCGCGGCGACGCGGAGCCCGCTGGTGAAGCCGCCCTACTCGTACATCGCGCTCATCACCATGGCCATCCTGCAGAGCCCCAAGAAGCGCCTGACGCTGAGCGAGATCTGCGAGTTCATCAGCGGCCGCTTCCCCTACTACCGGGAGAAGTTCCCCGCCTGGCAGAACAGCATCCGCCACAACCTCTCCCTTAACGACTGTTTCGTCAAGATCCCCCGCGAGCCGGGCAACCCGGGCAAGGGCAACTACTGGACGCTGGACCCGGAGTCCGCGGACATGTTCGACAACGGCAGCTTCCTGCGGCGCCGCAAGCGCTTCAAGCGGCAGCCTCTCCCGCCGCCGCATCCGCACACGCATCCTCACCCCGAGCTGCTGTTGCGCGGGGGCGCGGCGGCGGCGGGGGACCCCGGCGCCTTCCTGCCGGGCTTCGCCGCTTACGGCGCCTACGGCTACAGCTACGGGTTGGCGCTCCCTGCCTACGGCGCCCCCCCTCCGGGCCCGGCCCCGCATCCGCACCCACACCCGCACGCCTTCGCTTTTGCCGCCGCGGCCGCCGCCGCGCCTTGCCAGCTGTCGGTCCCCCCAGGTCGTGCCGCTGCACCTCCACCAGGACCTCCGACGGCCTCGGTGTTCGCGGGCGCGTCCTCGGCTCCAGCCCCTGCGCCTGCCCCTGGCACAGGGTCGGGCCCGGGCTCGGGCCCCGCAGGCCTGCCCGCCTTCCTGGGCGCAGACCTGGGCTGCGCCAAAGCTTTCTACCCCGCATCACTGAGCCCTCCCGCAGCTGGCACAGCGGCCGGTCTGTCCACCTCACTCCTGCGCCAGGGCCTCAAGACAGACACGGGCGGTGGTGCGGGCGCGGGTGGTGCCGGGGCCGGGCAGAGGCCTTCCTTCTCTATAGACCACATCATGGGCCACGGTGGCGGCGGGGCAGCACCCCCGGGCGGAGGCGAGGGCTCGCCGGCATCACCGTTCGCAGCAGCGGCAGCGGGTCCTGGGGGTCAAGCCCAAGTCTTGGCCATGCTGACTGCCCCGGCTCTGGCTCCAGTGGCCAGCCACATCCGCCTCTCGCACCCCGGGGACTCCCTCCTGTCCTCAGGGCCCCCGTTTGCCGGCAAAGTTGCTGGTCTCAGTGGCTGCCACTTCTGACCGCGTCGGGCTCGGGGCCATTTAGGCCCGTACTCCTTAGCCTCTCCCGAGAGCTCCTGCGGCCCCAGCGGAACTCAGGGAGTCTATTTATGAAGAGTCTCCAGACCTTGGGCCTGCGCGTAACTTGGCTCCACGCTCAGAATCTCGGCGATTGTTGGGACGAAGCGGGCTCCGTCGCTCAGGGAGAGGCCCGGGTCTGCGCAACAAGGTCGCAAGCCAGGATCCCATTCCAGTTTGAGCAGTAAGAGGGGAAGGGGAAAGTCTTCGCATTTTCCGAGCCTCTGCGCTTCTAGCAGCCTGGGAAGAATGCTTTCCCCGGTGCCCTCCCAGGCCCTCGGATCCTGCCCGAAACACCAGACCGACTGCGCAGAGAGGTCTTTATCTCTCCTCCACTTCTTCCCCGACTTTGAGGCCCTGCCTACCCGCCCAATATTATAATTTAAAGACACCTATTACCTGCTTCGTGCTTAAGAGAAAAATACACCCCCCCCCCGCCTTTCTTCAAGGAAGTTCGTTCTCTCTGAAGCCTAAAGCTGTGTCTACACAGGTGAAGCTGAACCGAGCGGTGAAGTGAGGGGCTTCCGCAACCCCTGCGGAAACCCTGGATTCCACTCCGCTGGGAAACATCGTTCCTCTTGTGTGTTGGGGTGCTTTTGAAGGAACTTTTCCTCTCTCGCGTGGCCGGCTGGGTCCAGCCAACCAGGGCCAGCAGCCCTGTCAGCGCTCTGCTCTGCCCCAGGCCCTGGGATATTTATTGTAGCTAAGGCAATGAGTTTGGGGTGGGAGAGGAGGGTCTGGGTCAGGGACTGGAGAGGTGGGGGTGGGGTGGGCCAGGGCACATCCTGTGGCAGGGGGCCCTGTAATTATGTGTAAATATCTGTACAGCGGGCTGCTATGTGCGTTCTCTGTCCACTGGGTGTGCATTGATTTAGAATTCTCCACTGTGGGGAGGTTCTGTGAAGTCATCTGATGGTTTGTGTGGAAGAAAAGAAAAATCTGTCTTCCCCCAGTCCCCATTGGTGTCAATTGAATAAATGTATGTGAATTCCAGCAGTCACCAGCTCTGTCTGCTTGCCTGCACTCCTGTTTTTACCTAGTCGGGTCTCCCCTGGAAGGCCCCTGCTTGTGGGCGGAGGTGGACTGAGGAAGGGCCCTGGGCAGCCCAGGCAGGCAGAGGAGGGCATGGGCTTGTTTGGTGTAGGGGGAAACTATGGCATTGGCCCTTGCTGTTCAGAACCCTGGGAGGCCTTGTGACCCATCCAGCACTTTCATTTTCGCTCTGGTCCAGGAAAGTTGTTACTGCCTTGGGTTTTGCAGAGAGGTTTTGTTTGAAAGGCACCCAGGGAGTCTCATCTCCTTCAAGTTCAGACTTAAGCATGGGCTGGGCAGATCTGGGTGCCCAGTGCTCATGGACACTACACCGATGAAGTGCCATTTGAGTGTCTGTGTCTCCTGCTGCGTTTTCAGTGTGCTCCTACGCACAGGGAGCTTTTATGGAGCTTGTGATTTGTGTTTGTTTGTCTGGGTTGCCTTGTTGTCCTTTTAGGGGGGTGAGATGTATGTCAGGTATCTGTTTTAATTTATGTGAGTGTCTCTGTGATTCTGTCACTGTCTCTTCCTGTGTTCCTAAAAGGAGAGAGATTTCTGTGGCTGCTGTAGAATCTCCATTGATCTATACCACCACCACGGACCAGTCAGCATAAAAGGCTTGAACTGGGGACCATGAAACCCCTCTCTTTTCCAGTCTGTGGTGGCTATATGCTAAAGGAGAGAGCCATTGTAGTCCTACTCTGTTAGGGAAAAGCTCCCCAACCCTTGAGCCGTGCTCATAGTCAGAACCTATTGCTTGAGGGCAAAGTCATTGGACTGGCTAGTGTCTTCCATAAGCCGTTCGAGGCTTCCAGCTTGATGCCTGTGCCCGGAACTCCCAGCATCCAGACTTGCAAGCACCTTGGGTTTGAGGAGATGCCTTGGGTGACACAAAGATGGTTACTTTGTAGCTCTTTTCTCTGTACCTTCAACTGAGGTCGTAGGAGAGAAGGAGTGATGGGGAGGTGCAGGAGAGGGAGTTCAGCCTTCACAGAAAATAGACACATGCAGAGGGCAATGACTGGGGGACGAGTGACGGAGGAAGAAGACAGATGTAGAGAACTTGAGAGGGGCAGGCAGGGAGAAGCCGTACAGGTTTCTTGGACCAGAGTCCCAGGCATTAGCAATAGTAGGAAAGAAGGAGGGGGGAAGTCGACAGAGTGTCGTCTCAGAAAAGGGTCAGAACAGGGTGGGAAGACCACACGGGGCTGAGGGAGAGTGGTTGGGACCACTAGGTCTCTCAGTCCCTTCCCCGGTGGAGAGACAAGGTTCTAGGTACCTGTTGTAAAATTAGCTCCTCTGCCAGAGGTGAGGTACCCTCTCCTCCATCTTCCAGAGAGACTGGAAAGTGGAGGGAGGATGAATACTGAGGGCCATGATTTTTATCGAACAACCCAGGAGTTGTAAGGCCACATTCAATGGTAAAAAGATGGAATGTCTATTGATACCAGGTTTATGGTCTCTGGCAGGGTGACTTTGCTGAGTTTGCCTTCATTTCTTTTCACTTGAGGAAGGTTGAACATGCACCGTGTGTTTGCCCACAATAATACAGTTTGTGGCTCACGTGATCTCATTTGCCGCAGATATATCACTCCCAGATATTAGGTTGGAGCTTCAAGTAAAAGTCTTATCAATTGGTTTTTCCTCTTTAGAACAGAGAAAATTAGGTCAGTCAGAACTCACATCTGATGGTGGATACAGGAGGTACTTCCACAACTGCTACTTGCAGGAGAAGCAGCGGATCCTTCCGGATTCCTTGATTTGTCTTTGTGGCAGCATCTGTGAGCTTTTCCGAGTGTATTGCTTGGTGTTTATGTGTTCCCTCTTTTTACCATTCCCTCTTTTTACCATTGAATGTGGCCTTACAACTCCTGGGTTGTTCGATAAAATCATGGCCCTCAGTATTATGTGTGTATGGGGGGTGCGTCCATATCAGGAAAACGTAGAAATGAGAGGACTGGGGAGGAGTGAGATACACCCTTTCAGGGGCTTCTAGGTGGCTTGGAACTTCAGACCCATGACTCAGACCTAAGTTTCCCCCTGAGCGAAGAAGACCAGTGGTAGGCCAGATATAATTATGGCTGAGGACTGGGGTCCAGAAAGAAGCCACACCGATGCCCAACTGGCCTTAAAAAACATTAGAAAAGGAATTGTTGGGAGACCTGCATCCCGAAAGCAGGGGAGAGGGAAGGTGTTTGGAATTTGGGACCCTTTTCGGTTGTGCGGGCCAGGAACTCGCCAATTAGGAGCTGGCATAGACCTCTCTGAGACCTGGACTGTAGGGAGGGGCAAGGAGGGAATCTCAGATTTTTCTGGTCGAGTCCTCTGGCTCTTCATCCCTTCCAGACCAGAGGGGCTCTGTAGGTGGCTCCCTCCCACCCTGTGGGTGCACAGGTTTGGGTGTTCAGTGTGAGGTGGCTTTCTTAGGAGGCTGCCTTGGTGGGAGGAGAAATAGGCCATCCCATCTCCAGCGGCTCCTGTGGGTTCCCCCACTGTCTGGGTGGAAGATAACTGAGCCTCTGGTCCCACAGGCCCCAACAATCGGTGACAATAATAAGAAAATATCCAGGGCACACCTTCGTCTCTCAAAGTGAGAAGAAAATGCTACGAAATCGGCTTGGGGTTCTCAGAGTGCTACCGAGAGAGCGGGCAGTTTAAAGGGGAAGAAAATTGGCGAATTTCACTGGTCAATTTCACTTCATTTCGTTCAATTTCGTTCAATTTCATTCCTTTTCATCCGGCGCCGGGAGGCCCCAGGCCGCAAGAAGGGGGAGGAGGGGGCCCTTCCGGGCACAATTTCCCCAATCTTGCAGATTTACTTTCTATGGCTGAGAACAGCTTTGATTCTCAAACTTTGATATTCTTCCAGCTACTGCCAAGGGCGGTTATTTTATTTTATTTTACTTTATTTTATTGAAGGATATTTGGTTTGGGTGATCAAGGCACATCAGTGAGCTTCTCCTGCCCACTTCTCTCTTGCAGCGCAATTAAAGTGGTTAATTCTTTTCTTCGCCGATTCTTCCCCATCTTTCTTTCTCTTGGGGCACCCCGGACCACCCAGGAGCGCGAGTCGAGCTGGGGGAGGACACTTCCCCTCCATATCCAATTTGTTCTCGCCACAGCAGGCGCGTCTTCGTGGTTACAAAGCGCTTTTCCCCGATGACTTTTTTCCTCTTTTCAAAAATACTTCACTCTCTCCCCTTCAACTAGCAACTCTCCCCAGCCCACCCCCTCCTTCTTTTCCTCTCGGGTTTATTTAAACTTCGCCTCCTCCAGCGCCGCCGCAGCGCGCACTTAATGAAGTTGAAGGCTCGGTGCGCCCGGGTGAAGAGGGTTTGGAATCTGTTGAAAGGGGCGTTTTGTGACACTGATTGCGGCCGCGGTGGGGGCGGTCGCGGACCAGACAATGACTGATCCGGCCGGTTTGCCTCCGCATCGGGTCAGGCGAATAAAGGCGCCGACGCTGTTTAAACGAGGGACCTTGCAGAAGAAAGGGAGAAAAGATTGTGAGTGTGGACCGTGCCTCGTAGGATTCTGAGCTTAGGGGGCGATGGGAGGAGGCAGCGCGCGTAGGGTCTTTATGGACCAGATCCAGGATTTAATTCAAACCCTGCTCTTCCGGCCAAAGGGAAGCAAGGAGAGTTTGGGTTTGCGCCTAAATTATTCCGATACGTGGTTCAAAAGGTTGGATAGGCTGGGACCTAGAGGTGTTTCCCGAAGAATCGTCCAGAATGATGAGACCCAGGTCACATTTGTCCAGGGGATGGTGCTCTGAGAGTCCAGGAGAAACGCTGACAGGGCGCGAGGTGGGCAGAGGTCATGCAGAGTAATTGAGCCTCCCTAAGCTTTATGTCCGTCAGAGGACTTGAGAGCAAAACATGTTAGTTGGAGTTTTGGCGCGGAATTCCTCTGTTCTTTAAGGTCTTTAAGGTCGGCATAGACACGTATCAACAGAGAAAGCTTGTAAGACGGACAGAGCTGAGAAGCCCTGGTGTCGGGAACGAATTTTTCCGCCAGCTAGTGGGCGCGGCGCGGGGCGGAGCGGGCACCGCCTCCTTTCGTAGCCGAGCGAGCGGTGGCGGCCCGAGGCGGCCCCTGAGGAGGCCCGAGGCTTCGGACTGCTGCGGGGGAGAAGGCGGACCCGGACCTCTCCGGTGTCTTCGCCCCCGGGGTGGATTGGGCTCCGATACCCGATACCCGCGGGTCGCACCCGACCCTCACTGGGCTCCCAGCTCTGAGTCCGGGGTCTCCGCGGAGCGCTCTCCTTTCGCTCCAAACGGACTCCGCGCGGAAGCCGCTCGCTGTCTGTGCCTTTGCCTTTCTCCGCGCGCGGCAGGCGTCTGGCCGGTGCCCACCTCACCACCGCGCCAGCTTCCTCTCCGCAGTTTCGTCGCCTGGAGGTGTTCTGCCGGCTCTGGGTCTTCACCGGTCCGGTCCTCCCGCGCCCTCCAACCCAGCTCTCTCGACGTGTGCGGATCCTGACTCGTGCGCAGCAAACCCCACACGCACTACAGCCCCTCCTCCCCGCATGTTTTGCCCGGGGGAGCCAGGGCCTGGGTCTGCTCCGCTGGTTTCTGGAGGCTGGAAAACCGCTGCAAGCTGGTCTCACCTCCGGGGCATGTCTGTGAGTGCAGTTAGAAATGTCTTTGCGATTGCTGTTGCACGGATTTTAGGATTGAAAAGGA